GGAGACCAGATCTGCAACACTTAGTGTTATTTGTAAAAAGTAAATTCACAAAATATTAAAATGAAATCTTTTTCTTCTGCTTTAGAGCTGTGCACTCTGTGTGACATATTTTCCCAGGTAGATAGGATGTAATTGGTGGCTTTAAGGTGTTCCCTTCCATCCAGTCCCAAGCAAAGAGGCGCACCTGGTTTCCCTCGCGCTGCAGACGTGAGAGCAGCTGTGGGTGTCGGCAGGTGGAGCTCCTCCATCCCACTCAGACCTCCAGCAGGGTCCAGGACTGCCTCCCAGAAACGCGCTCATCCACTCGCTCCGTAACGCGCTCAGACCTCGCCCGCCCGCACGTGGATCCGGGCGGAGATCCACAGAGTTAAGAGCGCGACGCGGCGCGCGCGCACCGGACAGGCTCGTGCCATCTCCGCCGCTTTTATTTGTTGTTTTTCTTTTATTTGCATCGTGTTTGTAAAATGGGATTCTGACAGCAGCAGGGCTGCCGGCGCCGTCGGCTCCTCCTGAGCGGAAAATGAAGCGTCTCTGTCGGAGGCTGGCGGTGGCCGTGGCGGTGCTGGTGTGGCTGGGAGCGCTGGTTTACCTGCTGGTGCTGAGTCGGAGGAAGTTACCGGAGCTCGGTGCGGGAGCAGGAGGAGCAGCCGGAGCAGGAGGAGGTGCAGAGACTGGAAACAAGCAGGTGAAGGACAGACACCATCCATCCAGCAGCTCCACTATGTTTGTTTGGGAGAAGTTTCTCCACATGTTTGTTTTTAGTCGTTTCCTGATGTTTGACATAACTTTATGTCAGTGTTTGTTGAGTTTAAGGTAAAATATTCACAGAACTCATGAAATAGAAATGCATTTAGAATTTCATAAAAAGGAAACTTGCAGTTTATTACGGAAGAGGATTAGGGCCACTGGAAAAAAAAAGTTAACTGATTTTTAAATTTCATTTTAGTTTAGTATGGGAAAAAAGTCAGAATTCCGAGTTTTTTCTCAGAATTCTGACTTTTTTTTCCCTCAGAAGTCCGACTTTTTCTCTCAGAATTCTGACTTTTTTTCTCAGAATTCTGACTTTTTTTCTCAGAATTCTGACTTTTTTTCTCAGAATTCTGACTTTAATCTCAGAATTCTGACTTTAATCTCAGAATTCTGACTTTAATCTCAGAATTCTGACTTTTTTTTGGTCAGAATTCTGAGGGAAAAGTCGGAATTCAGACTTTTTTTCCCATACTAAACTGAAATAAAATTTAAAAATCAGTTAACTGTTTTTTCCCCAGTGGCCCTAATCCTCTTCCGTAGTTTATAATTATTCCAGTTGATGCAAAACTAAGAACCTGATAGAAACTAAGAAAGAGTTCAGCTTACTCTTTCATGTGTCCTTTTTTAGAGGGCAGTTTATTTAACTGCAAATTGCTTTTTACTTTCAGTAAAGTAAAGGTCCCCTAATGTGTGGTGCTTAAAGTAATTGGTCTCATAAAACTCAAGGACTTAGATGTAAAGCAAACATCCCACAAAGATCCTCTTCAGCTCAGATCGCTCCCACAGTCTGCTTGCTTTCAGTCCCTTTTATATTCTGATTCAGTTTTATTACACTTTTTCACTTTATTTTCACTTTAGGAATCTTCAGCTCTTATGAACTTCCTTTATTGTCCATATAGGGACACTTTCTGTCAAAGTTTATTAGTAACCTGTGGAAGATGACCAGATTTTATGTCTCTGGACTGCAGGCTTTCCTCTCAGCTTCTTGCTCTGATCTCCTTTATTTTACCTTTTAACTGGAAGTTTTTTAGGAATCTCTGATTAAACTAAGATTCAGAGAACAATATATACTTTTAATAATGAAAAAAAGCAATGCATGAATCTGTAGAATCGTAGAAATAAACACTATTTGTATGAAAAGGAAGCTAAAGATAAATGTATTTTATTGATGTTTCAGTGAGTTGTTCAGTTTCTGCTCATTGGAGCTAAAATCTCAGACCTTTAAGTTTCTCTGCTTTCCATCAGAAGCTGAGTTGCATTTAAAGAACATCTCCAACAGAGAGATGAAAAGATTTTAATGGAAATGCAGTTTTATTGATGTTTGTGTGGAAAGGATGCTGCACATTCATCTGGGATCATCAGTCTTTGTCTTTTTTTTGTTGTTCTGCTAAAAGCATGAGTTTACCGACCAAATAAATGCTGCAGAGAGCTGCATATTCTTGTAAGCGTCTCTTCAAAAAAATAACAGATTTTTTTGGGATTTTCAAAGCAGAGTGGAAGATTTCTCATTCTTTTGAAACTGACAAACTCAAAACTCACAATAATTTGGTTCTCAGACAATGCTTATGTCTGCCCCAAAGGCGATCAACTTATAACCGTTTCTACTAAATTATCTACTAAATTCTCCTAAAAATATATACAGTTTGTTTTATTTGCATTTATTTGTTCAATGAATACTTAAAAAAATAAATAAAAAACAGAAAATTAAAATTTTCTTGATTAAAATGTTTTAATAATTTAAAAATTCATAATGTAGGAGTCAACTCTGATTAAAATAAAGTTATTTTCTTTGTTTATACATTGTACAAATATATTGGTATGTTTACTCATGTTGTATCCATTAAATTACATAAATCACAAATTTTGGGGGTAGATTACAAGTTTTTATCATAAATTGTGATGCAGTAGCCATGCAAAGATGGCAGTAACTCCAGAAGACGGATAATACAATTTCTTATATGTTTATGTAAAAATATTTATGCATTGTATTTGGATGTAGTGATCGGATAAACTCTTAGTTTCGGCCTCTTTTAGATTGTTCCCAGTTTCTCTAACAGTCGTTGCTGCTCTCCAGGCTCCAGGTTATAAGACTGAGCTGTAAATGCAAACTGGGTTCTAATCTGAAGCTTTCACAGAGTTCTGGGCATAGATGCATGCTTTGCTGCGAGAACACCTGTGCTGTTTGTTTATATTTCTGTGATGATCTGATGCACTGAAGTGGAAGCTATAAAGAAAGAGTCGTTTCAGGAGGAAATCAGTTTGGATATCTCGTTCTGTAAAGAGCTAAAGCCGCAGCTTTAAACTGTAAAGCCAACTTTTTATTTTATTTTATTTCCTCACAATCCAGCAGTGGAAAGCTGTCATTAAACTCCACTGAGCCCGGCGCTGTTACAGCTCACAATATTGCCTCAGTTACGTTGGACCCAACCTTGGTGTCAGAATTCAAATTAAGAGCAGTCAGATTTTTATGAGAATATTCCCCTGTTAGCGGTCCGGTTGGATTACCTGTTGGGCGGTGAAATCTAATCCCTAATGTCTTTGTTTAGATACCGTCTGTAATGAACTATTCCTTCATGTAAATCGGCCTTTATGCTTCACTACTTCCTGAACTTTAACCAGCTGCTGTTTCCTGTCTTTCATAACCAGATGGACTGATTAATCCAGGTGTGTCTGACCTCAGTAACCATGACGACATTGGTCAAACACACCTTGGTCAAACACACCTTTTCTCACTTCTCATCCGATACTTCTCTTTGGATATTTGCACTAATCTGATGCTTATCTGATCTCAGAACTCTTGTTTGCTGTAATATTTTCATCATCACTGTCTTTTTTAACCCTTTAAAGCCCGATCCAAGAATAAAACGAAACAGAAAATTACTTTTTTTTTGTTTGAAGTCCTTATTTGGCCTTTTAACAACATATGTAAAAAAGTAAAAACAGAAACACATTTTTGATATTAACAATTTATTACTATGCGATAAGTCAAGATTATTTTTTGTGTAGTCTTCTGCCCTCTGTTATCAGGTATAGCTGATTGTGTACAACAGGATTTTGAGCAAAGTTTTTACCATTAAATTATGCAAAAGGTGTCAGACGCAAAACATTTCAGAAACAGTATGTATCAAATACGATACATTTGGCATTAAAGGGTTAAGAGGCTCTGATAAACTAATCTCTACAAAAAATATATATGTAAGAATTTGCACATGTATATACCAGAATTAAACTGTATTAACAGGACAAGTATCCAGCTGGAAGATTAAGAACTGAGTGTATTTAGTAAATCATGGGAATAGAATTCTCTGCTGCCATTTAAGAGATTTCTAGCCTCACTTAAGTGTATTGTAGAACTTAAGTGATTAGATCTGCCCCATAGATTGGTCCCATTTTTACCAATACCAAGTCTAGAATTTTCTGCAATACCAGGACAGATAATATATTAGATTAGTTTAATGTTATCTCAACCCAGATTTGATATTTTACATTTAAATAAAATCCCTATGCCTGCTCCCTCTGCTGCTTCTTGATTTCTATCCTTAACTCACTAAAGAATGCTAATAGACATCTTTAAAAATGTTTTATGACTTTTGTGACACAATTTTGATGCTTTTTACATTTTCTTCGCTAAACAGCTTCTCTGATATCATGGGACATGCTCAGAGCAGTCCGGTAAAACATGATTAAACCATGTTTATCTGCATTTTTAGTTGTTTATTTCTTTACGCACTATGTAAAGAAATAACTAAAATGCAGATAAACATGGTTTGACTAAAGAAATTCCAGCACTTTACGCACTACGATTACGCACTATATAGCATACGGTTAAACCGAAAGGAAAATATAAAACTCAAAAAGACTAGATTAATGTTTAAATCCAAAGCCGAAAAAGTTAGCGTAGGATCCCATTTCCGGTGCAGATTGGGCAAAAACGACTGATAAAACAGGATTTTAAGGCAGTTATTTCCTCAAGAAATACATTATTTACCTTTAACACTTTATATTTTAGTAAGTTTACTATTTTTGAGGAGGGAAAGCGTCATTTAGGTCTTTTTAATAAAATAAAATCGATGACGACCCGGATGTATTTCTTGATGTGCAAATGAGCTGATAGCGCATGAGCAGAATGGATCGTGCTTCCGGGACGCATCGGGTAGTGATAGGCACAAATTGCTTCCTTTTGCTCATTTAACAAAAAAAGAAACAGATGTTATTTAGGTAATAGAGACTGAATAGCAGAGTCTACAGACAGGAACACAGGTGCAGCCATTTTTGCTTAGGTCTGTCACTGCTGGTTGGCATTGTACAATCCCTGTGTTTCATTGGTCCGAAACATTTCTGTAGCGAGGCTAATGCTGGCAAGATGCATTTTCAAGTGTTTGAGAATTCAAAAATCTTGCTTGCAAGGTAACTAAAGGTCAAGTTTAGCATAAAAATCCCGCAGTAATAAAACTGTTATAAATTCCTTTTTAGCAGGAATAAATAACATGTCAAATGCTTTATTTGTTTTAACCAAAGAAATAAAATTTAACACAATGAATATTTGTAAAAACAGGTAAAATGGTCAATTACATACAAAACCTCTGTAAAAAAAATAATAAACTAATTTTAACAGCAGAAAATAAACCTTTGTACATTGTAAAACCCAATTTTTACTGAACAAATAACATTCCACATTGTGCAAATTTGTAAAAAGAGTTGGTAATCACAAACAAAGAAATAAGCAAATACTAAGATTTATATCCCAATATGTTTATGAAGATTGTTGACAAACTAACAAAAATAAGGAAAATAAGCAGGGTTTACTGAAGACAATCAGTCCCAAAAGCAGTTTCCAAAACACTGTTTTCGGACTTTGCATTTGCACAATGGCCTAATGGCGCAAATATGCTACAAACCCAAACATTGCAATGACTTAGAAGAAAAATAATCTGA